GTTGATATACAAGACTGACAAAGTCTCTTGCTTTCAAACCGAAGTGTGTGTGTGTGTGTGTGTGTGTGTGTGTGTGTGTGTGTGTGTGTGTGTGTTGGGGGGGATGTTGAAATGCTTTTTGACTAGTGCCTGGTGGCACACAGTAAGTGCACCATAATATTACAACATCAGGATTATCCCTTAACCCTACAGAACTGCAAAAAGACAGAGGTTGGACTTTTCAAAAACCAGCTCCTCTCTCTTTAGCTGAACTCCTACTGCATATAAAGAAATACATTTCCCTAGGACACCCTCACCTTCTCCAATTCCTTCATTCTATGGCATCCAGTGTGTAAGTGAGAGGCAGCGTCCACATACTATCATCTTCACCATAAATCTTACTTTGCCGTTGGCTGCTGCCCAGAGAACAAAGATGGACTTGGGAGTGTGGAGAACCAGCTGCTAGCTGTGATGAGCCTTTTGGGTGACCTTCAGATCCATCACAAAATTCCAATGTCTTCCCTTTTTCTTTCTTGTTCACCCATAATTAAAGCACTATTGGCAAAGTGGATTAGAGGAGATGTCCTAGAATTTGTAGAGTGAAAAGCATATTGGATCACTCATCTGCTTCATGATTCTTTGTCTTAGGAACAAAGTCCAAACTTCTCATGGTGGCCTTTGCCTGTCAGACCTAACCCCAGGCTTCTCCTTCCCTCTGCTCTGCATCGATTTTCTCTGTTCCTCAGACTTATCCTATTTGCTCGGAGGTCAATCACTTTGCCCTTGTGTTGTTCCCTGCCAGTATTCTTCCTCCAGATCACGATCACGACCATCCTGTTGTTCGTCGATTGCCTCGAGCAGGCCCCAGTAACGTCTCCTTCATCCTAGCCCTGAGATTTTTTTTAAAAGTGCCATATTCAAGGCTCTTTCAGGGTTAGAAGATTGAGACCCATCATTGTTACTGGTATTTGGCATATTGGGTACACCACGGGGAGTTTGCCAGACTCTGCCGTGTGGGCAGGTTACATTCGGTAGCCTGCCAGTTTGTCCAAAGGAGGAATGAGATGATAAGATGTCACGCGGCCGCGAATGTGGCCGTGGTTCCGGGAGCTGAGTGTGATAATCTCTGGATCCTGGCCGTTGTTGGGGTTACACGGCAGTTGGTGGGTGTAACTGTCTAGCTACTGGCAGGTCCAGTCCCAAACCGTGCAGGCTTGGAGATCTCAGCCCCGGGTCCCACACACCTGGGTTCCTCTGCCAGTTCTTTTATGCGTGAGGCTCATCCAAGTGTGTGGAGAGTGGTCCCAGCATGGCCTTGGCTGGGGCCCAGAGGTCTTCAGCTGTCAGGCACAGGGTAGGAGACTCTGCCTTGTTCTCTCCCAGGAGCTGAGTGTGATAATCTCAATCCTCCAGATCAATTATGTAAAACTATTTCATCTCCCTCTCTGTTTGGGGCATTTGGGTCTCTGGTCAAAAATCTATCCCTGACTCCTCTAAGTAGAACTGCCCAATCCTTCTCTATCACATCAGCCTCCTATTTTCCTCAATATATTTATCATCATCTTCAAGTACTGTGTTTGCTTTGAGCAGGGGGTGGGAAGAACCCTAAGTGTTAGAGGGGATAGTACGGGGGTAAGTGCTTGACCTATGCCACAAATATCACCCCCATCACTCCTGAGCACAGAGCCATAACAGCCCCTGGACAATGCGAGGTGTGGCCCAAAAATCAAACCAAGGCCTGGATAGATAGTGAAGCAGGTAAAGCTCTTGCCTTGCATCTGACCAACCCTGGTTCAATCCCAAGTATCACATAAGGTCACCTGAGCCCTGCCAGGAGTGACCCCTGAGCACAGAGCTAGAGGTAAGCCCTGAGCATTGCAAGGTGTGGTCCAAAGCCTAAAATCAAAAAAGTCAAAGTCAACAAAAAAATTTGCCCATAGAGTTGGTGCCATGTCTGCTTAACCACTTCATCAGTGTCTACTAGCTCCTGGCCCCGGGGAAGTGCTCCCTAAATATCTGTGCATGAATGGATGGAGAATAATCCACAAAAGCAGGAGGATGCAGAGTTTGTGCTTGCAATTCTTCTTGGTCTTTGTATTCCTTACCTTTTCACCAAGGGTAAAGTCTTCCCAACTAGATTACTCTTTCCAGTAAAGCTAGTCTTAGCTGTTGCTTGAACAAGTGTTGCAGTCCCCTAAGCACTGCCCAGAGCAACACCCAAATCAGACATGACCCCAAAATAAAAATAAAAATAAAACAAGAGCTAGAATTATAGTACAGCAGGCAGGGCACTTGCCTTGCACATGGCTGACCTGGGTTCATCCTCGGCATCCCATACAGTCCCCCAAACTCTGCCAAGGAGTAATTCCTGAGTGCAGAGCCACCCCGAGCACTGCCAGGTTTGGCCCAAAATCAAACAAAAAATAAACAAAACAAAAGCCTTGACTTTGGAACTCAGGGGTAGAGCCTATGCCTTGCATGTATGAAGATGTGGGTTCAGTTCCTAGCGCTACAAAAAAGAAAAACAGGTTTCAGGCATTGGAGTTATTTTGAAGTAGACTTTACTAAAGGTCGCACTGAATTTTAATCTCAGCTTTGATATTTCTTGCTGTATGATTCTGGGAAATTGTTTAACCTGTGTCCTCTATGTCTCCATTTATTATTTCATAGATAACAATACTTTGTCATAGGTTAAGTAAAAAAAGATAATATACAGAAATGACTTAGTGAAAGGTTTGGCTCATGATATGTGCTCAACAAATATAACCCAGTAACAGATTAATGTTATACTATATAACATCATATATAGATAATAAAAATATATAATACAATAGTTACAGACTAATGTTATTGACTTATCTGTCCTATTTCTATTGTGGGTGTACTTTGCTCTAAGAATGATATAATGGCAAACACTCTGGTATACTCTAGCTATAGCTCTCTGCTCAGTGGAGTATATATCCCACTCTCACAGTCTACATCCACTTATTTGTTGAATGACTACTATGAATAAATCATTCCTTCCTTCCTTCCTTCCTTCCTTCCTTCCTTCCCTTCCTTCCTTCCCTTCCTTCCCTCCCTCCCTCCCTCCCTCCCTCCCTCCCTCCCTCCCTCCCTCTCTCCCTCCCTCCCTCTCCCCTCCCTCCCTCCTGTGAGGAACAGGTCTAGATAGCTTTTTCAGATCCTCTTTACAGGAACCCGCATTGCAAAGTAACTTGTTTTTCTGTCCCTGAGCAAGGAATTCAGATACAGGTGCCCCTAGTTGTAAGTCACAAGAGGGGGGTGGTCAGACCAGATAACCAGATGTCTCTCACAAAACCCATGTCACAAGACCCAGGATTGCCCTAAAAAAAAAAACAGGACGTTCCTAAGCACTGACGCAAATGCTGATCTTTAAGCTATAGACTAAGGAGTGTCACGTCACGGTCCTCCCGTTGTTCATCGATTTGCTCGAGCAGGCCCAGTAACGTCTCCATTGTGAGACTTCTGTTACTGGGTTTGGCATATCGAATACGTCACGGGGAGCTTGCCAAGCTTTGCTGTGTGGGCTTGATACTCTCGGTCGCTTGCCGGGCTCTCCGAGAGGGGCGGAGGAATCAAACTCGGGTTGGCCATGTTGGCTGCTTGTAAGGCAAATGCCCTACCGCTGTGCTATCGCTCCAGCCCTAGGCTAAGGAGTGATGTACTTTAAAATGGATTGGTCAAGAAAGTATGGACTGTTACAAATCTACTGGCTATGAAATATGCGGGCTCTGCTGTAACAGCCAGTGAAGGCCTATATAAGATCCCCTTTGAAGAAGCTCGGGGTCTTGCCCATCCTGCCGGACCTGCGTGTCTGTGTAGGCAGCTCGACCCTGTGTTAGGTCCCTAGGGACCCTGAGGGAGATTCCAGAGTTAAAACTCTATAAATTTTAACTCTCCCTTTCCTGCCCTCCTTATCTGTTACCTCCCTTAAGAACTCTTCCCTTATCCACCTCCGGAATGCAGGGCTGAGAATCAGAGGAAGCAAGGTGATAACCAAATGTCCAAGTTACCTGATGCCCACTAGTCACAATGCCTATGTACGTAAATGCTGATCTTTGAATCTATAGGCTAAGAAGTGATGTACCCTTAATTGGATTGGTTAAGAAAGCATATGTCGTTACAAATCTATTGGCTATGAAATGCGCGGGCTTTGCTGTAACGGCCAGTGAAGGCCTATATAAGATCCCCTTTGAAGAGGTTCGGGGTCTTGCCTCACCTAACTGACCTGCGTGTCTGTGTAGGCGGCTTGACCCTGGCTAGCCAGTCTTACAATAAACCTTGCTTGCTGTTTGCAGTCTCTGGAGTCTCTTTGTCGTTAAAGGGAGATCACGATCTGCGCCCTAACATTTGGAGGCCCCAGCGAGATCTCCCGACGGCAAACGGGCCCAGAGAGCGGGTTTTGAAAAGGCCTTAAAAAAAAAAAAAATTTCTGGGGAATATTCCGTCTGTTCTGTGGGGGGACAGTGTCCCCTTCTGGACCGCGGCAGGGAAGTAGCTAACCCTGTGAGGACTTGGGGGGACATAGGGTTTCCTCGGGTCCTCGTCTGTCTGTTCTGGAGGCCTCGTCTGTTCTGGACCGCGGCAGGGAAGTGGCCAACCCTGACTGGGAGGACTTGGGGGGACATAGGGTTTCCTCGGGTCCTCGTCTGTCTGTTCTGGAGGCCTCATCTGTTCTGGAAAATCCGGCGCCGGGAGAAGACCTGGAAGAGCTGAACCCTCCGGAGGTGAAAATCACGTGCACGCCCTTTGGGCATATTCGGGAGTCCCAGGGTGACTGGTGAGTGTGGTGCGCACCCGTGTGAGAGAGTGGACCGGTCCGAGCGAGTGCAGGAGTGTGATCTGTGCGTATGTCCTTAGTCTGTGTATTTGTCCTATTATCCTTCTCTTAGTTCTGTTTATTGAGATTGTTTAATATGGGTCAGAATCAATCGACACCCAAAGCCTTAATTCTTAGCCACTTCTCTGAGGTTCAAAAGAAAGCCCAGCATATGGGCCTCATGATAAAGAAAGGTAAGTTCAACACTTATTGTTCTTCAGACTGGCCTGCTTTCGGGGTGGGCTGGCCCCCACAAGGTTCCTTTTCACCGAACCTCGTGACACGGGTAAAAGAGGTCGTTACCCGCCCGGGGGCCCGTGGGCATCCTGATCAACTACCTTATGTTCTTACGTGGGAATTTCTCCTAGAAGAACCTCCCCAATGGCTCGGTCCCTTCTTATCCTTTTCTCCAGCGCCTGTCCCCCCTCCCGTTGCTCCTCCAGCGCCTGTTCCCCCTCCCGTTGCTCCTCCAGCGCCTGTTCCCCCTCCCGTTGCTCCTCCAGCGCCTGTTCCCCCTCCCGTTGCTCCTCCAGTGCCTGTTCCCCCTCCCGTTGCTCCTCCAGCGCCTGTTCCCCCTCCCGTTGCTCCTTCAGAGCCTGTTCCCCCTTCTGTTGCTCCTCTGGCGCCTGTTCTTCCAGCCTTTCGGGATCCTGCCGCCTGTCCTATCTTAGCCCTTCAGAAGGAAGCAGAGAAAGAGGTTCATGCTAAGGCAGCCGTGGCCCTAAGGGGGGCTGCAGACTGCCCCCTGAAGCCACGGGAGAAGGAAATCCGAGATAGAGCTGTTGAGGCCATTGAAGCAATCATAAACCCTTCCTGGGAACCCAATCCTCCACCGGCGGTCCTCTCTGACTCGCTTTATCCTCCCCTCATAGACTTTGACACTGAGATAAGACCTCCTCCTTATGTCCCCATCCCTGTTCCGGCAGCAGCCCCTGGTCCGGCTGCAGACTCTACTCAGGATGTCGGCCCTAGCGGACGGCTTCGTCCACGTGGAAACCTCCGGCCCGAGGAGGGAGATCCTGTCTCTAGTTCCGGACCAGGCCCCCATTCTGTTTCTTTGTTCCCTGTGAGAGCAATTGGCCACCCAGGTGGCCACCAGTATCAGTATTGGCCCTTTTCATCTAGCGATCTATATAATTGGAAAATCCAGAACCCTCCTTTTTCTGTGGATCCAAAGGGTCTCATAGGTCTCGTGGAGTCCATCATGAACACCCACTGTCCCACATGGGACGACTGCCAGCAACTCATCCGAACTCTCTTCACGACTGAGGAGAGGGAGCGCATCCTCGTTGAAGCTCGAAAGAACGTGGCGGGAGATGATGGGCGGCCCACCATCCTACCTGACCTCATCGATGCGGCGTTCCCCCTCAGCCGACCTAACTGGGATTTTGGGACGGCAGAAGGTAGGGAGCGTCTCCGAGTATACCGCCAGACTCTCATGGCCGGTCTCCGAGCGGCCGCTAGACGGCCCACAAATTTCGCCAAGGTAAAAGCTGTTATCCAAGGGGAAACCGAAAGCCCAGCCGCATTTCTTGAGCGATTGTATGATGCCTACCGGCAGTATACTCCCATTGACCCGGAGGCTGATTTACACCGCTCAGCAGTGTTGCTCTCCTTTATTAGCCAGGCAGCCCCTGACATAAGAAGGAAGTTAAATTCCCGGGAAAACCTGGGTAGCATGACCCTCCAGGAGATGCTGCATGTTGCCGAAAGGGTATACAACTCTAGGGAGAGTAAGGAAGAAAAAGAGGATCGGTTGAGGCAGGAGGACAGGGACAGGCAGGAGAGACAGAGAAAAGAGGATCGGGAATTCCAGGCTAGGGAAAATCGGAAGAGTCAGAAAGAACTTACTAGGATCCTTTTGGCAAGCGTAGGGAGTCAGCCCAAAGGGAGAGGGCCGCCTAGCAGACCAGGCCTAGATAGGGATCAGTGTGCTTATTGTAAGGAAAGCGGGCATTGGAAGCATGAGTGCCCATATCGCGGGAAGAAGCAGGAAGGGTGGGGAAGGAGACAAGAAGATGGGGAGGGGAAGACTGCTAAAGATAGGGCCAAAATTCTAGTAGCTGAGGAGGAGGACTGAAGGGGACGGGACTCGGCTCCCCTCCCCGAGTCTTGGGTAACTGTTTGTGTGGAGGGGAAACCAGTGGGGTTTATGGTAGACACAGGGGCCCAATACTCAGTCCTGAATCAGGCCATGGGGAAACTCAAACCTAACAAAACCAGTCTAGTCCAGGGGGCCACAGGATCAAAAATCTACCCTTGGACCAGCAACCGCCAGGTGCATCTAGGGAAACATCAGGTCACTCATTCATTCCTAGTGGTGCCTGACAGCCCAGCCCCCCTTCTGGGGAGGGATTTATTGACCAAAGTTAGAGCCCGGATCCACTTTGACCCTGATGGGATTAAGGTTATGGATGGGGAAGGGGCTCCTCTACATGTCCTAACACTCTCGGTACATGATGAACACAGATTATTCAGGAACTTGGGGGAGGATAGTGTGAGGGGGACGATGGCATATTGGTTGAAGAAATACCCCTCCGCATGGGCCGAAGTGACAGGCATCGGTCTCGCCAGACATGTTCCACCAGTAGTGGTGGGACTCAAAGCCTCCGCCCAGCCAGTCAGGGTACGACAGTACCCAATACCAGAAGCAGCCAGGCGCGGCATCTCCCCGCATATCCACAGACTTTTGAAAGAGGGGGTTTTGAGACAGTGCCACTCAGCTTGGAACACCCCTCTCCTGCCTGTCAGGAAGCCTGGTAGCTCAGATTACCGTCCAGTGCAGGACTTGAGGAAGGTGAATGAGAGAGTGGAGGACATCCACCCGACGGTGCCAAACCCCTACACTCTCCTGAGCCATGTAGCACCCTCTCTTAAATGGTACACCACCCTGGATCTAAAGGACGCCTTCTTCAGCATACCCCTGGCTGAGAGCAGCCAGTTGCTTTTTGCATTCGAATGGCAGGAGGAGGGGAAAGTGAGACAGTTAACCTGGACGAGGTTGCCCCAAGGATTTAAGAACTCTCCGACCCTGTTCAATGAGGTCCTTAGCCAGGATCTCGAGCCCTTTCGACGAGAACATGAGGAGATAACATTGTTGCAGTATGTAGATGACTTGCTGCTGGCGGCCCCCACCCAGGAGAGCTGTAGACGGGCTACAGGGCAGCTTCTCGCCCTCCTGGGGGAACTGGGGTATAGAGCGAGTGCGAAGAAGGCTCAAATATGCCAGGAGAGAGTCACATACTTGGGCTATCAGCTAGAAGGAGGGGCGCGATGGTTAACAGAGGAAATGAAACAGACCGTCCTCCATATCCCCACCCCAACATCTGCAAGGAAAGTGAGGGAGTTTCTGGGGTCGGCTGGATACTGTAGACTCTGGATCCCCAATTTTGCTGAGATTGCAAAACCCCTGTATGAGGCCACCAAAGAGACTCGGGATTGGGAATGGACAGAGAGTCACCAGGCCGCTTTTGAACGTCTCCGAGTCGCGTTATTGCAGGCCCCGGCCCTAGCCCTGCCTGACCCTTCCAAGCCATTTACCATCTATGTGGACGAAAGGAAAGGGATAGCTAAAGGGGTACTGACGCAGAAGCTGGGCCCTTGGCGAAGGCCAGTGGCCTACCTCTCAAAGCGGCTAGATGCGGTTGCGGCTGGGTGGCCACCCTGTCTCAGAGTAATTGCAGCAGTAGCCCTCTTGGTCAGAGACGCTGACAAGCTGACTTTCGGGCAGGAGCTCCACATAGTTACCCCGCACCCGATTGAAGGAGTCCTGAAACAGCCGCCGGGGAAATGGATAACCAACGCCCGCCTCACCCATTATCAAGGACTTTTATTAGATAGTCCCCGTATTGTTTTTGCCAGCCCATCCACCTTGAACCCCGCCAGCCTGCTGCCCGAACCGGACGCAGTCTCGCCCAGTCACCAGTGCCTTGAAATATTGGCTGAGATTTCCCAGGCAAGGCCAGACCTGAAGGACATACCATTGGAGAACTGCCCCTTGAACTGGTATACGGACGGAAGCAGCTTTGTGCTACAAGGGGTAAGAAGAGCGGGGGCCGCGGTGGTGGACCACGAAGGGGTGGTGGTATGGAGCAGTGCCCTGCCCCCTGGAACCTCAGCCCAGAAGGCCGAACTGATGGCCTTAACAGAGGCCTTGGAACGCGCAGAAGGGAAGCGGGTTAACATATATACGGACAGTCGCTATGCCTTCGCCACCCTGCATGTCCATGGCGCCATCTACCGAGAACGGGGATTCCAGACTTCTAACGGGCAGGAGCTCAAGAATCTGGCGGAGGTCCAGCGTCTCTTAATGGCAGTGGACAAACCAAGGGAGGTAGCCGTCATCCATGTCCCTGGGCACCAAAAGGGGGACAACCCAGACGCTGTAGGGAATCGTCGAGCGGACACGGAAGCCCGGAGAGCGGCTATGGAGAGCACTCCCGCCATGACCCTTTCCCTGCCAATGCCAGAACTCCCCAAACTGCCGTCCGAGCCCCAGTACTCCCCCACTGACCTGGACTGGATACAAAGACAGTGGCCCACAGCCACGGCTAGGGACCCCGGGACGTGGCACCGAAGTCCGGACGGGGCCATAATTCTCCCTCGCCAGCTAGGCGAATTCCTGGCTGGCAACATTCATCGGACCTCTCACCTGGGGCGCCGGAAGCTAGCGGAGCTACTCACGGCTGCGCGCCTGGTGTACCCTGCTATGACCGCAAGCCTGCAGCAGATCACGGACGCCTGTACTGTCTGCGCCCAGATGAGACCGGCCATGCGGAGGGGCATGCATACAGGTAGCAGGGAAGCGGGGAGGAGTCCGGGGAGGAGTTGGAAGGCAGATTTTACTGAGGTTAAGCCAGGCAAGTACGGGTATCGGTATCTGCTAGTTCTGATAGACACCTTTTCGGGCTGGGTGGAAGCTTTCCCAACAAAGCACGAGACTAGCCGGGTGGTAGCTAAGGTCCTGCTAGAAGAGATCATACCCCGATATGGTGTCCCTGACTCGATCGGGTCAGACAACGGCCCGGCTTTCATTAGCAAGGTCCTGCAAGGCCTAGCCCAAGCTATGGGAACTGATTGGAAATTACATTGTGAATATAATCCCCAGAGCTCTGGGCAAGTAGAGAGGATGAATCGGACCCTGAAGGAGACCTTGACTAAATTGGCTCTCGAGACTGGCGGGGACTGGGTGACGCTCCTACCCCTCGCGATTTTCCGAGCGAGGAACACTCCCTATGTACATGGGTTAACACCTTTTGAAATCCTCTATGGGGCACCCCCACCCATCACGCGAAGGACTCTGGCTCCGCCAGGGGAAGTTGCTGTGCACCCGGACTACCTGACAGTCCTGCAGACTCTATCCCGAGTGCACCAGCAGATATGGCCGCTGGTCAAGGCATATCACGAAAGGGAGGGGGAGGGACCGGAGCACGGACTGGTGCCAGGGGATAGAGTTTGGGTGAAGCGACACAATGTTAGAAATCTGGAGCCCCGATGGAAGGGTCCTTATGTTGTTCTTTATACCACCCCCACTGCCTTGAAGGTTGATGGAATCGGGCCATGGGTTCACCATTCCCACGTCCGACGAGCAGGAACTGCAGGAGAGGAGGAGGGAAGTGCCCTACAGCCTCAGCCTCAGTGGACCGCGCGGCGCCATCCTTCAAATCCCCTCAAGCTCCGGCTGGTACGAGGTGCTTCTGGACACAGGAGCCGCGCACTCGCTGGTGCATCTACCTCCTAGGGGTGTTCCTAGTGGTCGTCATTCCAGTACGGTCGGCCGGAAGCCCTCATCAGCCCTACCAGCAAACCTGGGTCCTGAGAAACGGAGACACCCATGAGGAATGGAACCTAACTACGAACCCGGCTAGCGCATTGTGGACCTGGTGGCCAGATCTATATGTGGACTTGGAGGAGGTCTTGGGTATTTTTTACTCCCTTCCTCAGCAAGGGAAGGTACATTACATGAGGAAACGGGCACTGGGAGATACCTCCTCGCTCCTGGACAGACAGGCTCTCCGGAAAAATGGGTTCTTTGCCTGCCCTGGCTATAAAACTGGAGTATGGCGCCGGGAGTGTGGGGGTGTGGAAAGCCTTTACTGTGCTGCCTGGAAATGTGTAGTGGCTAATGATGGGGAATGGAGGTGGCCAGTAGCTCAGGAGCTGATCAATATGCAGTTTATTCACCCTTTTCAGCAGGGGAGAGTGGTCCCGGGGTCCAATCAAATCCGAATTTCCTTCACTGAGGCCGGAAAGAAGGATAGGAGGTGGGTGAACGGGCTAACCTGGGGCCTCTTGCCTTACAAAAAAACCTTGGAGAGGAGTCCTATTCCAAATATTGCTCCGCTTTGGGCCAATCTCCACTCCAGTGGGGCCTAACACCATATTGAGACTACCTAGTTTCAAGCTGGGCCCCACGAGCCTTAGGCCAGCCCCGACCTCCCTGGGAAGCTCTGCATTTGCCAATGCTGGCTCCCTTGGCCCTAGCCAAGCCACGGGTACCACCCTTCAACCCCGATCACTGAGTGCTGCCAGTCCCATCCAGACCAGGGATATCACCCCCCAGTCTCAATCCCTGAGCTCCTTGGAGCTTTTGCTGCATGCCGCTTATGTGTCTTTGAATAAGACAGCCCCAAATCTGACGGAGTCATGCTGGTTATGCTTTAGCCCTGCACCCCCCTTTTATGAGGCCATCGGGGTCAATGCCTCATATAATGTCAACATCTCTGTCCCCCCCGATGGTTGGGGCACTCGCCCCAGTACTGGCTTAACCATAACTCAGGTCAGTGGCCAAGGGAGATGTATAGGTACAGTTCCAACTGAGAAAGCTAGACTGTGTGCCCATACAGATCCTGATCCGGGCTGGAACAGCTCAGTGTGGGTCACGCCATCTGTTGGAGCCTGGTGGGTGTGCTCACTCTCTGGGCTCACTCCTCACCTGGCTGGATCAGTATTCGATGCCTCGCGGGAATTCTGTCTGATGGTGCTGGTGATGCCTAGAATTATTTACCACCCCGCCGAGACTCTTATTTCCTATCGGTCTGGGCAACCTGGAGAGCATCCTCGAGTTAGGAGGGAGCCCTTCACCACCCTGACCCTTGCCACCTTGTTTGGAATAGGGTTGGCCGGGGCAAGCACTGGCATCGCCTCCCTGGCCACACAGCATTCTGGTTTGCAGTCCCTCAGGGCAGCGGTAGATGAGGACTTGGACCGCATTGAAAAGTCTATTAGCCTCCTTGAAAGATCCTTGACCTCCTTGTCTGAGGTCGTACTACAGAACAGGAGGGGGTTAGACCTATTGTTCCTCAAGAACGGAGGGCTCTGCGCTGCTTTGGGAGAGGAGTGCTGTTTCTACGCTGACCACACTGGGGTTGTCCGAGATTCTATGGCCAAGCTGCGGGAAGGTCTCGAACAACGTAGAAGAGAAAGGGAGGCCCGGGAGAATTGGTTTGAGTCTTGGTTCAATCAATCCCCGTGGATGGCTACTCTCCTATCTGCTTTAGCTGGACCGGTGGTAATTATCCTACTTATGGTAACTATAGGCCCTTACATTTTAAATCGTCTTGTGGTATTTGTCAAAGACAGAATTAATACAGTTCAACTCTTGGTCCTACGGCAACAGTATCAGACATTGGGGCCCACTGAGGAAATTACTCCTCTGTATGAAGAGCCCACTGAGAAAGATTCCTCAATATGAAGTAGAGAAAGGGAGGAATGTTAGGTCCCTAGGGACCCTGAGGGAGATTCCAGAGTTAAAACTCTATAAATTTTAACTCTCCCTTTCCTGCCCTCCTTATCTGTTACCTCCCTTAAGAACTCTTCCCTTATCCACCTCCGGAATGCAGGGCTGAGAATCAGAGGAAGCAAGGTGATAACCAAATGTCCAAGTTACCTGATGCCCACTAGTCACAATGCCTATGTACGTAAATGCTGATCTTTGAATCTATAGGCTAAGAAGTGATGTACCCTTAATTGGATTGGTTAAGAAAGCATATGTCGTTACAAATCTATTGGCTATGAAATGCGCGGGCTTTGCTGTAACGGCCAGTGAAGGCCTATATAAGATCCCCTTTGAAGAGGTTCGGGGTCTTGCCTCACCTAACTGACCTGCGTGTCTGTGTAGGCGGCTTGACCCTGGCTAGCCAGTCTTACAATAAACCTTGCTTGCTGTTTGCAGTCTCTGGAGTCTCTTTGTCGTTAAAGGGAGATCACGATCTGCGCCCTAACACCCTGGCTAGCCAGTCTTAACAATAAACGCTGCTTCCTGTTTGCCATCTCTGGAGTCTCTTTGTCGTTAAAGGGAGATTTTGATCCGTGCCCTAGCACTTCCTTCCTTCCTTCCTTCCTTCCTTCTCTCTTTCTTTCTGTCTTTATTTCTTTTTGTTGTTGTTTTTGAGCTACACTCAGTTGTGCTCAGGACTTACTCCTTGCTCTACTTTCAGGAATCCCTCCTGGTGATGTTCAAGGGACCAGCTGTGGTGTCAATAATCAGAAACAGGTTAGCTGCGTGTAAGGCAAGTGTCCTACCTGCTGAACTATCTCCTTAGTCTCATGAATTTTGAGGGCTACAAGCGGGGAGGAAGGGTGTTCTAGTCCAACCGCAGTAGTGCTCAGAATCTATCCCAGCTTGGTGCTCAGAAGCCGCTCCTGGAAGTATTTGGGAGACCAGTGCTAGAAATTCAACCCGAAACTCTCACATGCAAAGTATGTACACAAGCCCTTTAAGGCATCGGCCAAACCCTATGAGTGACTCTTAAAGGAACTGGGAGGTGAGTATTTGAAAGGCCAGGATTAAATCTGGAAGGCATCTCGCTTGGTAAGGGATTGCGTGTAAACTCCAGAACAACAACTAATTCTACAAGACCAGACCACAAACTCTACCCTACCCAACTCACTCCTTTAGAACTGTTTTCCAACACCGATTTTTATGCAAACAATATGCTAAATGTGCTAACTGCTAGCGATTAAAAAACAATAGAATGTAGCCTTGTCCTCCAGGAGCTGGGTCAAGAGAAGAGAAGAAGAGAGCAAGGGCGAGGGCTGTAGGGGCGGTCCTTGAAAGCATTCCAGATCCGGAGACCAGACCCACTCAGTGGACGAGAACTGAGACCAGATTGGGAGGGGAAAATAGGAGTCCATTCATCTTAGAATGCATCCATTCTTGAAAATCTGAAAGAATATAATGAATTTCTAGAGCTCCCCCTCTCCCCTCCCACCCCAAATGACACGGGTCGCAGTCTCAATGTTTTGGTTTGGTTTGGTTTGGTTTGGTTTGAGGGAGAGGATGGTCGTCACAAGCAGCCTTGCTCACTCCTGGCGGTGTGGTGGGTGGAACAGAGCTCTTCTTTCTTTATTTTTTATTAGCGAGACACCATGAGGTACAGTTGTAGACTTACAAATTTTTGTGCTTGGGTTTCAGTTATACAATGATCCAGTACCCATCCCTCCACCAGCACCCATCCTCCACTACCGCGGGTCCCAGCATCCCTCCCACTTCCCATCCCCCCCATCCCACCCTGCCTCTGTGGCAGGACATTCCCTTTTGTTCTCTCTCTCCTTTTGGGTGCTGTGGTTTGCAAAAGAAGCAACGGGTGGCAATCATGTTCGGTCTATAGTCTACTTTCAGCATGCATCTCCCATCCTGGGAGGATCCTCCCAACACCCTTCATATGATGCTCCCTTCTCTAGGAACAGAGCTCTTAACCCAACCGTACCACCTGGAAATCGTACCCCTGTTACCTAGCTTGCAATTGGCATTTTCCGCGGGAACAGCTCGTTTACCCGCGATGGTAGCACATGGCCTCCAGAGGGCGCTATTCCTCTTTCCAGCTCGGGTTGGCTGGGTGTGTCTGGCTCAGCCCGGCCGGCGCGGGAAATTCCCCTGCAAGGCTCCCAAACACGCACACCCCCCTGGAAGCACCAGTCTAGGTGGGGTCTAAACATCCGAATCCTAGTGAGTTCGCAGGTACATGCCGAGACGCGGGACCAGAGAACATCTTGAGAATCCATCAGTGCTCACAAGTCTCTAAGATTCTTCTCTGCTTCTTCCAGAGGAGCACTGGAGGTCTGTAAAAATGTGAAAGGCGCAAGAGGAAAAGGGTTGAAAATACACAACAGAGCATGATCCGACTTCCTACTGTGACTTGTCCGGGGATACCCGAAGTTCCACGTTCCTACTGTACCTGAACTCCCCTTCCTAACGTCTTTCTACACCCCCATCTGCCTAATCTCTAAATAGTGAATTTTGCCCCGTGACATTAACAGGAGCAAAACCAGGGAGAAGTTAACAGAGAGTGCAACGCAACAGCTGCAGGGTCTGACTGAAGAAGTGAGACACATCTCCGGAACAGCAGGAAGGTTTTGTTTCCTCACGGTGCCTCACCTGGTCTGTAGCCCCCTCCAATGACCAAAGCAGAGTTCTGCACCTGGCATATGACTGTTAAATGTCTGAAGTGATGTGACTTACAACACACACCTCTTCAAACATAGAAGCCTAATCTAGTTTGCCAATGCTGCTCATTTGTTCTTATCCAGCTCTGTTTATTCAAAGAACTTAGAATCATTTATTATTTTTATCATTATTGCATCTTCGAGGTAGCACACAGATCATAAAATACAGGTTTATTCTTTTTTTACTTCTGTACAATGTCTTCCTTGGATTATTTTCTTAGAAATCTGTGATGAATTACTGATTTTATATTTATTTGAGTGTCAGGGTTGTCATGTCTGTGGGTTGCTTTTGAC